CTGCGTAACGCGTTTCGTAACAGGTTAAAGTATTATTAGGCAATCCTGAAACCTCTTGTGGTATAACATTCGAGAATTTCATACATCTGTCAAAACTGGTATTCCAACAATAAATTGGCATGTTTTGATTGTTGATTTGAACCAATCAGATTGTAATTACGCGATAATTTGCATTAGTGTAAATTATCAGATAATTGCATACTAACTGGTGCGAAAACTGGTGTTTTGACATTTTTTGACAAAAAATTTAAATTTTTGATTTATGAAATTCTCTCATTAAATATAACTCGTGCAATGGAAATATATTTATAATTTTCGACAAATTTGCACTCATGCGTTTTTAACTGAAAAAGGCACTCGTGCACTACGTGCACTCGTGCTCTTTTTCAACTAAAAATGCATTTGGGCAAATTTCTCTAAAATTATGAATAATTTCCATTGCACTAGTTATATTACTATTGATAATATTTTGAAACAAAGTTCTCTATCCTCAACTGTCATCGAAAGATTTAATTCGACCTTAAACCAAATCAATAATAATGAGAATCTTTTAGAATCCAAAATTCAACAAATATCTGTCTCTGTACAAAAATCCGCTTACAGGGAAAATTCCTTTTTTAGCAAAGATATAATCAATCAAATCGTCAATGATTACGAAATAATCAATTCTATCTTGCAAGATATAGAAAATTCGCTGACGTCTGCAAGGCTTAAAATCTTACATCCTAGCATAATAAAAAACGAAAACCTTTTTTCTGAAATTAATAAGATGCAAAATCAATTAGGATTAGGTAAATTTCCTTTTACCGTCACGTAAGAAAATATTCTAGTTTTCGAAAAACTAGAATATTAAGGCTTTTATTTTTAGTCTAAGAGCCCGTGACACAAAAGCCTCAGTCATCTGTTAGAAGGCCGTTTTTTGGTGGCCCGGTATGCCAAGTCCTCGGTCAACTAAAAAACGTAATGGTTGGCGGGTTTCGGTGTGCAGAAGCTGAGGGGTGGATGAATTTTCACTACCCCAAAATAAGGGTTTTTGCCTTATGAGTCAGAAGCTTTTTTTTAATTGTAAATGAATAATATGGACCTACTGAGGCCTGAACAGTAACGGTTGGCGGGCCTTCCCCCTCTCTTCACCATGCCCACCGCGTTTTAAGTAAGATTCCCAAGGAAAGTTCCTACCTCACAAGTCAGAAGGATGAAAAAAAAAATGGAAATTATACACTTCCACTTTCTCGTCCGTTCTGCGCTGGGTTGGCAGCCGGTTGGCGCTCTATTGTTTATTTAAAGATATGTTTTAGCGAAATTGAAGTTCTTTTTTCCCTCGCTATAATTTGAAGATAGACGAGGTATTTACATAAATAAAAAAAATAATACACACTTTTCATTAACTGCTAAAAAAAAAAATATTTGTACAGTTCACACACGGTAGAAGTCAAACCTTCAATAAACTAAGCTTAGGCTTAGAGAGAATGACATACACAAACTAGGTACTACGCTTGGTAGACAAGATTGGGGAGGCTACGAAGCACCGCACAAAGAGGAGGAAAAATAGGAAACGCTGTACAACAGTATTCTATCTTATTCTCTAGCCGGCTAAATCCCATAGATCTATATGTGTGTCTCTTTTCAGTGTCGCTTTTCCGTTTCATCGAGTCGAGTCTCAAATCACTCCCAACGATTCTAAAGAAGTTTTTACTTCAAAAGTGATGAAGGTTTCACAGTAATGCTCAGAATCCAGATACATCCTCTATAATGAAATTTGATCCTCAGTGAGAGGGAGTTATTTTTTTGTATCTGGGGTCAGAAATTCACGTTTCTTATCAAAAGTGTCCAAATTGGAACACCCTCTACATTCTTTGACAGCGTATAAGTAAAGTAAAAATAAATGTTTAAAAAATTATTGTTCATATTTACTCATTCAACCTGCGCCCTCCCTGACGAAAGAATGGATTGAGTGATAGTAGATAATCGATCAAAGAATGTTTCTGCCGAGGTTTATGCTAAATTTGAAACATTCTGATGTGGATTTATTTAAACCATTCTTATGTTTTTTTTTTCTCCTTGAAGAAAAAATGTATGTATGCAACCTGCGGATGAAATCGTATTAGTTGATAAATGTGTGTATTATTTTTTTATTCCATGCAAAATTTGTAAAAACTCCCACTGATTCTTTAGATTACCTATTCAGCCTTCTTCAGTCCATCTTTGGACGTAGGCCTCCCCCAGTCTTTTTCATTCCTCTCTGTCTGTTGCCATGTTCATCCACCTGGTTCCAGCGTGCTTCTTCAGGTCATCAGCATACCTCATCTGGGGTCTTCAACTACTTCTTTAGATTATAGCGAGAAAAAATACAACTTCAATTTCGCAAATACATATGTTTAAATAAACAATAGAGCGCCAACCGGCTGCCAACCCAACATAGAACGGACGAGAAAGTAGAAGTGTATAATTTCCATTTTTTTCCGTCCTTCTGACTTGTGAGGTAGGAACTTCCCTTGGGAATCTTACTTAAAACGCGGTGGGCATGGTGAAGAGAGGGGGAAGGCCCGCCAACCGTTACTGTTTAGGCCTCAGTAGGTCCATATCATTCATTTACAACAAAAGAAAAGCTTCTGACTCATAAGGCAGAAACCCTTATTTTGGGGTAGTGAAAATTCATCCACCCCTCAGCTTCTGCACACCAAAACCCGCCAACCTTGGGACTTGGCATACCGGGCCACCAAAAAATGGCCTTCTAACAGATGACTGAGGCTTTTGTGTCACGGGCTCTCGTAGTATTTTAACCATATATGAAATGTTGTCATTACTGACTTTTCAAAAATTTGAACATGTCACATTTCTGTCTTTTCATTTTCCTGCTTCATTACCTATCCCAGGACGGGAAATGAGGACGGGAGTCCTCATTTTTCTCCTCATTTTCTGACCTCATTTGGTTGCCCCGAATTTTTTTTTTCAAAAAATTATGGTTAAAAATAAAATAGTATACAACCCTCGACGGGAAACCTCATAGCCGTCTCGAGGTTCAGTTTATCTCGACGCTACGCGTCTCGATAAACTATAAAACCTCTTGACCAGCAATCAAGCATTTCCCATCTCGGATTGTAATATACTTTTACAATAAATAATAAAATAATTTATTTATCACAAACGCCAATCATGTTTTGATTTCCCTCATTTTTAGTCTGTAGCAATCAATTTGCAGAGTCGGTTTAAGGTAGGTTTGCCAAAGAATAATTATTTAGTAAAAAATACTTTGCACTTTGCTTACTATCCACAAACATGCCTGGAGGTCCTCCCTGAGTCCGTCGTTAGCCCTGAAAAGGACCTGCAAGAAGTCAGAAAAAGCAGCCCATGCGAGATGATACAACTAACTCCTGAACTCTGACACACACCCTTCAGTTTGCAAGCAAACCGAAGTTAGCGTTCCTGAAGCGATAATTAATCGTCTAGACACTAACAATCAGTAGATACTTACATTTCTAATTAATGAAACTATTAAAATTCAGTGTTTTGGCCAAGAAGAAGTCCAAAACGGCATAGGGACATACATTTGCCAAATTCCTATGGGATGCGGAGTCAGCACAAACTCAAAACTGGTTATGTTCTTCCCCCATTTTGCCGAAACGTCAACAACACTACCACTTTCGACTTTAAGTCGTCACCTTCACAATTTGAAGCTGGACGACATCCATCAGTTAAAACATGCAATCTCCGAAATTCAGCCTCATCTTAACTTCAACCAAATTACTAGAATTCCTAGTATCTGGACTCTGCTTCTGTATGAGAACATAATGGGTCATTGCGATTTGCTGCCTGGTTGCCATCTACAAATAGGTGATGCACATCTTCCAAAACAGGAAAGAGAAGAACGATGCCCCCACAATCGAAGTCCAACTACCCCGTCAAACGTAGAGTTGGAAGTTAAGGAGGGAGAAGTTATGTCAGTACTAGGCGCTTACTAAACAATAAACTAGCTTAATGTGCTTTTCACCTTTGTATAAGTAATTTGTCGACACTGTTAAGTTAGTCAGTTGAATTTTATTGTAACGATTAAATTTTTAGAGTTAAGTCTTGAATTTGTAATTTTTAATTCGGAAATTATTTTTTTTAAACCGTTAACCCGGTCTACGACGTGTTAACTCACTGGCTTAACCAACTGGCCAGCTTCCCTCCTTATTTAGCTTATTATTGATTTATTGTTAACAATATAAAGTTTGCCGAAATTTCCCATATCGATTCTCATAATTTTACATACATGTACGTAGGTACATATTCGTAAATTTGAAAATTGAAAAATTTAGAACTAAAATTTGTAAAATATTAATTGAGTTACGAGCGATTTTGTGAGGCAATGTCGGATGATCAAAATTTTTCAAGGCCAAAAATGCAAAACTTTGTTACATAATGTGGTTAAGGCACATCAATGTGATATAAATTTAACATCTACTTGAGCATGACATTATGCGTTACATTACAGTTGAATTTCACCTTTTTGTGACTTGAAAAATCTGGTTCCTGGACCAAATCCAACGAATTTGAAAAACTGCCTTGTTTTTGTTTCATTCTTCTCATGCCCTCAAAATAATATTCATAACTCATACTCTCAACTTGCCGTCAATGAAACATTGCCATTACCGCACTACAGTAATAATTCAAGTCAATATAAAAGTTGAAGTAATCTTCTTGCCAGTAGGTAATCTTCTCTGTCAAATAAAACTCACTCCATAAATAAAATTATAAATTGTTCTATTTTAACCCCAAAACTCATTTCTACCCAATTCCAAATAACATTTCTAAGTGCGGATTCTTAACAACAACGAAATATTTTTCAGGAAACCGCCCTCGCATACAAATGAACCAAAGAAACAGCCCCTGGAAAAAGATAAATACGCTGTCTCGTTGGTTTTATTTCGTTGTTGTTCAAAAAACGAGGTTTACTTTTTAAATACAAGAAGAAACAAATAATGTAGATATATCAAAGTTATTTTTTTTTTTAATAGGTAAACGAAGCTTTCGAAGTACTGAAACGACGTACGTGTAATAATCCAGGCCAAAGATTACCGAAAGTTGAAATACTGAGAAGTGCCATAGAATATATTGAATATTTAGAAGACATTTTACAAGGATCTAAAACTGCAGCTGAAAAACTTAGCGAAGCCAATTCTGGAAAGAACGAATATGTGGTAAGTAATCTAGATGTTCAATTTGACTAACTCGTAACAACAAATAGATACTATAAAGTTACAAAACCAATAAAAATCATCCAAGGATATAAATGTTTCGAGGAAAACTCCGTTCGTTATAACTTTGGCTGGAGTGTTTCAAGTTCCAAGTAAACAATAGAACTTTTAATTGATATTTATTTTATTCTAAATTTACCAGCAAACGGTACAAGATAATTATTTAGGCATTAAGTGGCCTCACATTAAGAATAAAACACATGTATGGCATGTGTACCGGCAAGAATTTATTTCAATGTGGCTAAAAAAAAACTATAATTACTTACCCTATATGTTTTTTTCGAAGCCCTCCTGGGGACAATAAATATTGTTTAGTTTAAGACAACTCCAAATTAATGTTTCACATAAGAAGTGATTAAGCAACATTCAAAATCCGCTATTTAATTAGGCTAAAACTTCAGGAGTTAGTTCAACATAGTGAAAGCAGGCATATCTAAACATCCTTGTCATTTCATAGTTTTGTTTTCGTTTAATTAAGTCTCGGTTTTTTTTCGTACCACAGCAACTTTACATCATCCCACAGCACCAGCCAACAATGAACAATATAATTCCCAAAACGAATATACATAATACATAGTAAATAAAATGCAACATCGTTCTCTGGCATTGGTCCAAGCTACCAAACATCCTATAATTTCCATATGGCATCAACGAACGCAAATCCCCCGGATTAATCTTAGGGAAGAGTCGCGAACCATAACTTGCAATGCGACTTTGGGAAATTAAATTCCGCAAGATGTCTGGATTTATCTGCACGAGATTATTTATAGAAGTTGTTTTCTTAGATTATCATGGATAAATATCCAATGACAATTATTGTTAAGTATAATGCAATAATTTTGCTATCATAATGCCCGTATTACATCTGTGTATTTTTCCGTGTATTTATTCATGTAGTTCAGGGTGACAACCGAAAAACTTCAAACGCAACATAAATCAGTATTATGAAAAACAAAATAATATTGGCACCCTGAACTACATGAATAAATACACTGAAAAATACACAGATGTAATACGGGCATAAGTCCTAAAAACATACATCATTATGATCTTAACTTATGTTGAGATTCTGCTCTACATCGATCAGAGATTGTCGTAGGGACTGCATCTCAATTGACTCTGATCGTGGAAGTGTAGACTGATCGTGTGGGATCTTTTTTTCTAGATCCATGTCCGTTAAAAAAAATATATCGGAAAAACGGTTTTCTTGGTCTGGAGTCTGGACCCCATACAAATTCGTTATCCTTTTGCAACAATATTATTATTGTTTCAGAAAAGAAGTTTTGTGTCAATAATTATTTAAACATTTAGTAATAGATGTCGTTAATCCTAAAAACCTTCTAACGACTAATACTTCTTCAGGTTTTGGAAATTTTAGACCTTTTCGGAAATAGTGATCCGATTAACCCGATCACCAGCTGTTTGTCTTTTATCTTCCTTTAATGGATACAATTGAAAATAGACAAAGGATATCAGCTGATGATCCGGTTAATCGGATCGGTGTTTCCGAAAAGGCCTTTTATAATTGCTTCTACATAATCTGTGTTTGGCTCAATTGGGGAATCCAAACCACGTGACTTTTGCCAACCAGCCATCATTTTGAAATTTTTATGTGCTTAGAATACGGGTTGTTACATGTCAACGATGTCAGAGAAATGTCAGATTAGAGTACTCGTCCCGTGTATTGATAAAGCCTAGTACTCATAACCGCAAAATTCGCTCTTTTTTGACATTGCTTCGACAATTTGACGTTTGATTCACGCATAAAAAGTCAAATTGAGTACTAGGCTTAATCCTGCCAAAAAAAAAACATATGTTTTTTGGTTATTGTTTGCCAACCAGACACCATTTGGACAGGTCGTTGGATTGCCTAATTCTCTCATCAGTGATTTATTATCCTGATTATTTCACTCCTGACATAATAGACGAATCAGACAACGTCATTTTTTGAATACATTTTGTTTAAATAAGTGATTATTGCACAAGACCTGTTTATTCGCGATTAAATTTTTATTTACCTTTTTTGACAGAATTTTGATAAAAATATTCTGACATTTTATAATAAATAGAACTCTTTGGATAGGATTGAAGCCAACAATTCAATCCTAATTATTCAAGAAATAATCTAGCCGTATACCACTCGACCTATAAATTTAAATGGATTAAACTATCCAAATATTTTTTGCATTATTTTGCGTTTTGGCAAATAGTTTCATGCACAATTACTTTTAAATAAAATCCCTCGACCGTTTCGCGGTCTCGAGCTTTTATTAAGTTATTGTGCATACAACTATTTTCCACGCAAAATCATGCTCAAAATATGTTGGATTGTTTAATCGATTAAATTTAAAGCTCTTGTGATATAATATATGAATCATTTATTCTATGTACACCAACAAACAATTATCTATATTCAAAGGTAAACCACTTGTATGAACAAGGTTCTTGCAGGAGGTATATGTGTCTCTGTCCCATAGCGGCCATAGCTGTGACGAGCTATTGAGGAGGCGCCCCTTTGCTATGCTGCAAGTTTATTTGTAGAAAAGAGATATCTTTGCCCATGGTAGATGATAAAGATAAACCCTTTTCTAGGTTGTGGATGGTCCAGCCCTTGTCCCTGGTGGTATATCGTCTACATATTCACCAGTACCATGAGCTCGGCCATCTCTCCTGGCTCTAGCCTTTGCTGTTCCGCTTCTATTTTTTCTGGATTTAGAAAAGGTATCACCAGTTCCACTGATGGGGTCCTGTGAACAGCCCGTGTAGTCCGGAACTAAAGGTCAGCCCACACCGCACTGGTTTGTGTGGGTAAGGCTAAATACATACTGAGCAACTAACACCTTAAACTTTGGATTTTTTGTGTGCAAGTCCTACTTGCACCAAAAGTCAATAGTTCTAACATTTATCATTTTTGTCCTTGGATTCCCAATTTTACAATTTACGGAGCATTTTCGTTCATGGAGACTGCAGAGGTATATATTTTTATTCCATTACATTTTTTTGAATCATCAAATTCTTCACTGGATTCTGTCCAAGAATTTGAAGTCACCAATATCATTGAAAATAGTCCAGTTGAAAATTAAAAAAATTTGGCGGGCCGTCGGTGCTTCATCCTCTATCTGCTTTGAATCGAGGAGCTGTGTAATTTTTTCGGGAGAGTTACAAAATGCAAAGGCTCAAACACTACAGTAGGTACTTTTGAAGTGTACGAGTCTTACTTAGGACATGTAAGTTGACCAGCACTTTATCTCCACACGAATATTTAGGAGCGTCACGAAGGCTTTTATCTGCATAGTATTTTGCTCGATCTTGCTGGATCTCGTGGTGATCACGGGCTTCTCGGACTATCTTACTGAAGCATTGCAAGTACAGAGTTATTAGTTAAATGACTCACAAAGTTCTCGTTCTCTACAATGGCACGAAGGTCTCGATTCACATCATCTGGGCCCGTATTCTCGTAACCGGGGAACGATTGCTCTGTCTTTATCAGTATTATGGAAATATCTATATGGGTGACTGAGACAGAGCAATCGTTCTCTTGAGCACACGCTGTTCCCTGGTAACAAGAATACGGGCCCTGGGGCCTTATTCTGTAAGGAACGAACCGTTCGATTCGGTAGAATTTTTTCGATTGTGGCGTCATTTTCGGTTTGGTAGCGCGAAAACCAAATCGACAATGACGTCACGATCGAACAAATTCTACCGAATCGAACGGTTCGTTCCTCACAGAATAAGGCCCCAGGAGTCCTCAATTCTCTCCCGAAAGTAAGATAAGCGGCGCTGAAACCTGTGGCTTGTGATCGGCTGGTATTCATTGAAAACCTAATGGCTAGCTGGTAGCTCATCCTTTCATTGTGTATGGTCATCTTGCACCAGGATAGAGAAAGTTAGGTTTTTAAGACTCTATTTTCACTCTTTACCGGGTTTGCTTCAGGATGATGGGCTGGAGTTAATATCTGCTTAAATCCGAGGCAATGTGCAACTTGCTGCATTACTGAGCTAACGAACTGCACACCGTTGTCACTTATAACTCTTCGGGGTACGCCATAGCTCAAAATTATTTCATCTACTAAGCAACGAGCACAATTTTCTGAAGATCTATCTTAAGTAGAATTATCTCCACCCAGCGGTCTGATGTATCTTCTATGATAAATATCCACCTGTAATTATCTTTGGTCTCAGGTAGAGGTCCGAATAGATCAATTGATATTGTTTCAAAACGTTGGGACTGGGGTTTGAAGTTGTCCTGATGACTTCAGATTTGAAATTTTGTATCTTTGGCATTTAATACATTTGTTGACATAGTCGGCTATATTTCTGCGCACACCTGGCCAGAAATAACGACTGGCTATTCTTTGGTGAGTACGCTCTATTCCATAATGACCACATAACGGTGAGTCATGGTATTTGAATAATATCTGTGATTTGGGCACAACTTGTTGTGCATCTTCTTTGTCCAACTCAGGTATAATAAACAGTACACCGTTATGCATGATGTATACCCTGGTTCGGTCCATTTCTTAAAGTCGAGGTTGTCTTTGTCCATATTTTCAAAAGTCTGTATTATCTTGTTAATATCTGGGTCATTCAACTGTTCACGGCGAATTTCAGCACCATTTTCTCGTGGCAAATCCACCAATTTGGCTTTCATTTCTTGGTCTTGTGGTCGTGATAGCACAGTGGCGGATCTATAGCACCTCTCTAGAGGGGGGGGGGGGGGTAGAACTTCTCAACCAGTGGCAGCTGGTGATCTATACTTAAAGGGGTTCACATACAATGTAGGACTTAGTAGGTGAAACTCACCGCAGGTGCCGCCGGAGACAGACATTTTTTTCAGGTGATACGCCCAAAACGCATTTTCAACTTCATAAAAAATATAATTTGTGTGTTTTTTTAATAATTAAAATTTTCTTGGGCCTCTCTGGGGGGGTAATTACCCCCCT